CTATCTTATCCTTCAAGCCCAGCTTACTTCGAGTGTCCTAGTGTCCCCCTCCTCTGTAAAACCTTCTCTGAGCACTGGTGGATTCAGCAGTTTCTGCTGCCCCTAAGCACTGATGGGGATGCATCTGGTTGTGGCTGGATGGTCTGGTTTTGTTAATATATTTTTGTTTCCATATACCTTGTCTCTTCAAACAGATCATAAACTCAAGGAAAATGACAATGTCTTTTTTCTGCTGCTTAAAACACACAACTTTATTGATAAAACACAAGTTGTAGATTAACAAATGTAAACCAATACAAAAGTGTAACTAATCATGATGTATACTCACTGTATACAGAGTTACAGAGTAAAAAATAATGTAGGTATCAAGATCAAATCAATAAGTGCTTTCTTTGTACAAGCTCTAATACTCATCTAGCATCCTCAGAATGGTCCAGTCTAAATCCAGCATCAATCACTGTTGATAATCTGCTGTATTCATTATTCCAAAATAGCAGCTGAAAGCATTTTTGTAATATCAGTGAAAACAAAGAATTTACAAAACACATTGTTCCCAAGTGCAAACTTAAAAATTGCCACAGTAATTTTGGGGGCAGACTCCAAATTAGAGTTTGGTTAATACTTTTAGAACTTTTACTTTCACCACCAGATCACTGTGATTTGCTAATGCTCTGATTTTCTTAACACATACTCCAGATTCTTTGAACAAGAAAAAGAGTGAACTTCTGCTGAATTCTTTTCTGGATGATGCAAGCCCCTCGCTTTTTATGTTGTCATTTATATTCTCAAAAAGGGTAAGGATATTAAGAAGAATCTCTCTATCCCATTCTTTATTAAAGAGGGATATCAATTCTGATGGTACTTTACAACTGACCAGCTCTCTTGTCATGGCTGGATTTTCAGTGAAGTTTATAATTAGTTTCATAATCTGTATCTTGGTGAAATGATTTCCCAGGAATAACAATGCAAAAAAGTCTGGAAAAGAATAGGAGAGCAAATGTTGGTAATGATTAGTCACAGTCATGTTGGTTAACAGTCTTAGTCCAGCCATTTGCACAGCTGAGTCCAGGCGACAGACCATGGTGTCATCACATACTTGACTGATGTATGTCTTAATCTTGCCCTGATTTTCTGCATTCACACTCAAGTTATTAAGGGCATTGTAAGTCTTTTCCCTAATAATGGGATCTTTTGTTTTTATCAGTTTTGCAATAATAGGGACACCACCTAATTCACGTATGGCATTTTGGTTAAATGAATATGCCGCATTATTACCCAGAGTGACCAAGGCTACTTCTTGAATAAAAGGATCATTTGTTCTCTCCAGGATATTAAGGACCTTTTGAAGGTCGGGAGCACTCAGAATATCATCAATTTTATAGGGAAAGTTGAACTTGCCCCTGCGGACAGGCCATGTTGTAGCTGGAACCCTGGTGCTCTTGCTTCGTGACTTTCCCTTGGATTTTCCACTTGACCTGCTCCCAGCCCTAGCCTTGGTGGGGTGGCAGCCTCCACCCCTGCCTCCTGGGCAGGGCAAACTCGGTGCAAGGGTCCTATTTCCAGAGATGTTGCCAACTCTAACCCCTTTGCCTGCCTTTGCACTTGCCTGTTCCTTCAGGATATTAAAAAGGGCCTTGGCCTTAGCCTCTAGGCCACCTCCACTCTGGGATCCCAAGTGAGCCTCCTTCTTTACACCTGGATCACTTTCAGGACCCAAGTTTACCTCAGGCCTGGCCTCTATGTCACCCGGAGATTGGGTTCCAGCCCTCACTCCAATATTAGTCTTAGATCCTTTATCAGGCTCCACCCCAATTTCTGATATGTCACTAGATTCTTCTTCTTCTTCTTCTTCTTCTTCTTCTTCTTCTTCATCATCATCATCATCATCATCCCAGATTTTCTCATTCTCATCTTTTCCCCAGGTCAGTCTGTATACACAGTAGCAGGCACCAGCCCCGATGACCATGCCAGCTGCTACACAGCCAGCTTCCCTAGTTCTGCCCATGGTACAGCTGAGGTGAATCCCTTAACCCAGCACAGAGCAGGCTTGCTCTGGCCCAGAAAAATTCTTCCAAATAGAAGGTGAAGTCTTCAGCTGCTGAGGGCAGTCTATGTTGCAACTGCTGATACAGGGGGACCTAGGAATAAAGAAAAGGTTTCAGGTCATGAACTCCTCCTTTTGTGCCTCTGCATGCAGACAGACTGAACCACCTATCTGCAAACATATAAACCTATGAGATTATTGGCCAGGACTTAGGGACTAGTATCTAGATCACTGATTGCTTTTCTCTACTGGGAAGCTCATTTTGAAAAATTTCTCCATATCCAGACTTTCCCACCTCATGTTCCACCACTCCATCCAGGAGTGTTAAATTCAAAGTCTTTGATGAGTTCCCTATAACCTCTGCCTACCATATGTCTTGGGGAAGTGGTGTCCTCAATGCACAAACATGGGTTGATGCAATTGCTTTTTTCTCTTTGTAGCCTCCAAGTGCACTCAGTCCTGTAGATCTGCAGATAAGGGAATAGGGAGGGAGGTGCTGAGAGTTCAGGGGACAGATGGAACTCACCTAGGACAGTACATAATGTCCCTGTTCTGAATCACTGGCCCTTGTCTCTGGTTCCACAATGTTTTTCAGCTTTTGTTACCCTCCTTTCCTCACAGAGTTGGAGCCTTGAAATTATCTTCCTATCCCTCCTCCTTAGATGATTCTCCCTCCTTTCAATCACTTCCTCAGAAGGTGATGCCACACCCATTTATACTGATAAGGATGATGTAGGAGAGTAGCAACTAGAAGCTAGATGGACCTGAAATGCGTGAAGACCTAGCACTCTTCCCTTGCTTCCCCAACCCCCACCATCTCAAAGGTACCAGAACATCCTCCCCACTCCCCGCCCAATTATACCAATTTCCCCTGCTAGGGAGCAATGTCCTTTCTTCTTCATCTCGGTTTCTGCCTCCACCAAACTTAAGGACTGACAAGCTTTAAGACTGAGGGCTTGGTAGACAGATCAACACTGTACCCCAAACAGTGAATCGGAGTAAATTCCTCCCCATCCCAATTCCATGCCAGGCCTCTCTTGACACAGGCCCCCCTCCCAACCACCTCCTTGCCCATCTGGAGATGGGCAAGGAGGTGCAGAGCACTTTCTTTTGCAAGCTCCCCATGTAGAGAGAAGGAAAAGAGGGGAATAAGAAGGAGTTCCAGCAGCCCCCTAGAGTTTAGAATCACCATCATCCTCCACCCCATAGGTCCCCAATACCATCACCTTCACTCTGACCTACTTGGATCTGCACAAATTCTCTCCTTCCTGCTGCTAGGGTTGGACAGGCCTTCAGGCGCAGTATTCACAGCCACGGGAGACACAGCAAAGACAGTTGACTCAGTGGATACAAGAACACGTCTGAGAATCCCAATACCAGCCTTTCCAGATTCGGGGTTCTGAATGTCAGGCGGATTTCACCTTTTTGCATCTCACCCATCCCCACTACTCTGGTCTCCGCCGACACCAGCCCTCCAGCTCCACCCAGCATCTCCCCCCCACCCCCAGCACCCGCAGCCCCAACGGTCGGCCATTTTCCCAGCAAAAACCACACCCCTTTGGAACCACTGGAAAGGGGGGGAGGGAGATGGGATGCAGGAGTACAGAAAACTCTAAGAGTGAAAGGAGACCAAAGGATCTCTTCTGTTGCCCTCCCCAACAAACCTCACTCCCATTGATAACCATTTTTCCTTGTTGAGGTGGGGGGTGGGGGTGACGGCTGGGAAATTGCAGGAGTGTTAATAATAGCCTTAAATTGTGGAAAGATCCTCAGTCTTCCCCACCCTTCCAGGGGCTGTAAAGCAACCCTAGCTTTACACTGACCTGCAGGAATTCGTGGTGGATTAGTCTTTGCTCCAAATTTTACAGTGCCTTACAGGGAGGGGGGGGAGGGAATGACTATGAATATGAATATGACAGTCATCTAGTCACACGGCCCCAAAATTCTGGCTTGGTAGATGGACCAGAGCACAAGACAACAATCCTACCCTTCCCGATTCAAAGCCCTGGGATGCCAAAGATTCCCGCTCCTATTCTGGGGTCTTCCCCGAAATCTGACACTCCAAATTCCACCATTTTTATTCTAGGAAGGGCCAGGGATCGTACAAGCATGTGGAGAAAGCACGCCAAGTCTTTTCGATCTCCACCCCACACTACCTAAAAGGCAGGGATTCCCAGGAAGCGCCCATTCACGCACAGACCTGCTGGGATTCAGGCAGTTACCTCCTCCTCCTCCTTCCCTCCGCCGCAGCCAGCTGGTTCTCTAGGCAATAACAGGGAGATCACAAACAGACCAAAGGAAGACCAGTATTAGAAGGACGTTTGCACACGTCGGCTCCAGCTCACGTGAGGGCCACGTCACCCATGAGATCAGGACCCCAATTACCACTCCCACCAGCAGTGCGGCAGAAGTCGGCCCTCCCCCTACCTTCCCTGCCACATCAGGTCCTGCCACTCATTTTCCTCTTTACCAATTCCAGAGACCATAATTAGCTTCTCCTCATGGTTGCAATTTGCCTTTCTTTGGTTAACACGGAGAGACTGCATCTGCTTGCATGTCCACCGGCCTTTTATTCCTCTTTGAGGAATAATTTTGTATCTTATTTATTTCTAATCCAACTGCTTTTCCCTTCACTTCCCACCCCTTCAGCTATGAAGGTCCAATATTTTTACTGCACCCCTATGCCAAATCAGGGTGTGGGCAGGATCTCAGAAAAGGATGACAAGTAATGGGAGGGTCTTACTTTCTTAAATTTTTCTGTTCAATTTATCATTAGTGCATTACTTTTCCATTGAGAAAATAAAAAGTGCCCATTTTCATTTGAGTGTAAAATTTGAGAGGAAAAAATAGGCCTTATTAATTTCATTGCATTTGTTTGTAACTCAAGAAAAATGTTTGTACTAGTTACAGCTGAATAGTAGCTTTCAGACATACTAACTTGTTTTAAAATTGAAAACTGAAAATGTTTACATGATCCATAAATTAGTCCATGAAGTGAAGATCAGTAGTCTAATCTTGGTCATTTTATGCAGACAGCTCATTTACTTTTTCTCCTTTTCACTCAACTTTCAATTTGGTAAACTAAAAGCAAGAAAATATTGCCTCATTTGATTTAAGAAAAAAACATACATTTAAGTTCCCAAAGTCTTGGCTGACTGCTGTGTGAACTTCTTGTGATTTGATGGCTGTACGGAACACCTGCTCCTGGATCACATTACAATCTACTAAGGCTGAGACAGCTGAGAGTGAGGGAGGCAGAGATGGTCCCATCCTCCCTGCCCTGTCAAGAAGTGGGGGACTAGCTACCCTTTCAACCCTCCCAGATTCCAGAGCCTCTCATTTTGGTGTATTCAGGCACCTGTTTTTTATTCAATCCAAAAATAAGTGTGGATATATGATTAGATGATAAATGTCACGCTATGCAGCTGACTACCTGAGGTTCCTTCATTTCCTCCCCCAAAGTCCCACAGAGGTAACTGAACAATGCATAAAGAGAAATCTGTTCCCTACCACCTTTCCTCCCTTATTTACAGTGCTTCTAACACTGCTGTCACCACCTGATCTAAGAAGTACAACCTATTGAGCTTCTCCTCTCTGGCCTCCTTAACTTCAGGTCACCCTTGAAGGAACCTAACCTTGCTGCAGTTTCACTGCCTGCCACTTTATACCCACCTTGGTACATCTTCAGTCGAATATGTACACAGGTCCAAGGAATAATTCACACTGGCCACACTTCCTAGAGTAGGTATTCTTACCTCATCAATTCTGTGAACCATCAGAAATTGTATTAAAGTTGTGTGTATACACAACATGTTCATTTCAGTAGAGAGAGGAATCATAGCTTTCATCAGATTCTTACAGACATATATGGCTAAGACATATATGACTTTAAAAGACTTAAAACTACTCTCTTAGAAAAAAAGGATATATCTCCTCAATAGAAAATCAATATCTATCTATCTATCCCCCCTCATGATATACACTTATTTCTTTTAAACACGTGCAGTAAGAAAATGTGTACGGGAAAAGGTAAAAGGGCCCTGCAATGCCCATTAGACTAACATCCACTTTTAACAATTTCTGCCTTACATCATGCAAATATAAAGAACATATGTGTGAAGATGTGTCAAGTTACAAGGTTCAACAATCAATATATAGAATAAAACTGTAAACATTTAGTAAAATAAATCTGTACTTTAAGAACCGATATCTTGGGCTGGGGTTGTAGCTCAGTGGTAGAGCACTTGCGTAACATGTGTGAAGCACTGGGTTCAATTCTCAGCAACACGTATAAATAAATAAAGTAAAGGTCCATCGACAACTAAAAAAAATTTTTAAAAGAACCTATATCTTTTTTTAATATTTATTTTTTAGTTTTAGTTGGACATAATATAATATTTTATTTATTTATATGAGGATCAAACCCAGGGCTTCACACGTGCTAGGCAAGCACTCTACCTCTGAGCCACAACCCCAGCACCAAGAACCGATATCTTTAAAATGGAGTCTTTCTACAAGGGAGTAATATTCAGGATATATAAGGAACTCAAACAACTCAGCAGCAAACAAATAATCCAATGTAAATGGACAAAGTATTTGAATAGGCATTTTCCCAAAGAACATGTAAAAATGACCAACAGATATATGAGAAGTCCTCAACACAGCTAATCATCAGGAAATACAAATCAAAACCATGACGTATCACCTCACTCCAATAAGAATGCCTATTATCAAAAAGACAAAATATAGCAAGTGTTGGTGAGGATGTGAAAAAATTGGAACTCTTGTATAATACATTGTTGGTGGGAATGTAAAATGGAGCAGACATTATGAAAATCATATAGGGATACATCCAAAAATTAAACTTCAAAGTTAATATCTGAAAGTATTGAAATCAAGGTTTCAAAGAGATGCCTGTACTCTCATGTTCATTGCAGCATTATTCACAATAACCCAGTTTTGCAAACAAGCTGAATGTCCATCAACAAATGAATGAAGAAAGAAAACTTGGAATATATACAATAGAATGTTATAGAGCCTTAAAAAATAAGGAAATCCTGCCACATGTGATAATATGGATGAACTTGAAAGTTAAGCTAAGTGAAATATACCAGTCACAAAAGAATAAATACTGTGTGATTCCACTTATATGAAGTATCTAAAATAGTCAAACTCATAAAACAGTAGAACAGTGTGGTTGCCAGGAGCTGGGTGGAGGGGAGATGAGGAGTTGCTGTTCAGTGGGCATAAAGTTTCAATTATATAAGATGAATAAGTTTTAGAGATCTGCTAAACAATGTTGTTCTATAGTTAACAAAACTGAAAATTACAGATGATACATCATGGCCATGGTTTATAGAGGAAAAATGACAGGAAACTCTTAATCAGAAGACTTCTACTCAAAGGACAATAGTTGGCCCTGCATCAAAGCAGCCAGATGATTGTAAATTTATATATTCTAAATTAAAATAAAATGTCTAACATGTACTTTACTATTTTTTTCCCATGTCTCTATTTTTCAATGAGCTAACTTGCTAATTGCTTACAAGTAATTAGCTAAACTGCTAGTCCAAATTTCAATGGATAATAGGGTTTCTGCTATATTGTCAATAATTTTTATTTGCATATTTCAGTAGCATGCTGTTTGAGGAATGAAATTTCCTATTACATTCTCATTAGAGCATATTATTTATAAATATAAAATAGCTTTATTTGTACCTTTTGGTACACTTTACTTTAAATGTATTTTATATCTATCTTAGCACTCCTGATTTTTAAGATTTGAATGTGCCTGGCTTATTTTTTCATCTTTTTATTTTCAGCATTTCTGTGTCTGGTTTTAATGCATGCCTTATAAAGATCATATTTCTTGGTTCTTCTTTTTTGTACTGGGGATTGAATTCAGAGGTGCTTTACTACTGAGTGACATCCACAGCCCCCTTACTTTTGTTTTATTTTGAGACAGGGTTTTTAGTTTTAGTTTTTATTTTTTGATGGGTGGATACCAGGAATTGAACTCAGGGGAACTCAACCACTGAGCTACATCCCCAGCTCTATTTTGTATTTTATTTAGAGGTAGGGTTTCACTCAGTTGCTTAGTGCCTCGCCATTGCTGAGGGTGGCTTTGAACTCATGATCCTCCTGAGACAGGGTTTTTCTAAGTTGCTTAGGGTCTTGCTAAACTGCTGAGGCTGGCCTCAAATTTGTGATCCTCCTTCCTCAGCCCCCTGAGTCACTGGAATTATAAGTATGCATCACCACTCTTGACCACTTGGTTCTTTTAAGCCCATCTGGAAAGTTTTTGTTTATTAATAGAGGAATTTAATCATCCACATTAATTGTGATTGCTTCATTTTGGTCTTATTCCTGCCATCATTTTGTTTTCTATTAGTCATGATTTCTTATTGCATCTTTTTGTTTTTTCATGGCATGTTTTTTTTTCCTTTAGTATCTTGTAAGTTCTACATAATTTAATAAAAATATTATCAAACATGTATAAACATATCTTCTACCAGTGCTACAATTTAATCCATATCTATAACTATTCTCAATCTCAAATAAGATATAACTTTTAATATTCCTTTAATCTTATCCTAACTCTGCTTCCAAATGTGTTTATGCCATCTTAAATTTCAGTTGTTACTTTATTTTAGAGTATGTCAGTATCATTTTAGGAATTCTTTCTTACAAATTACATTAAAATTCACAAATTATTTCTACTATATGTGATTGGTTGTGTACAGAATTCTAGGTTCATGTTCTTTTTTCTTCAGAACTTTAGAGACATTCCTCCATTATTCTGTTCTTTATTCTAGCATAAAGTTTTTTCAGACAAGAAAACCAGTGGTCTTCTCATTTCTTCTCTTTAAAAGTTAATTTTTTCCTCTCTCTGGAAGCTTGTATGGTTTTACGCTCCCTTTAAAATATTTTTTTAGTTGCCAATGGACCTTTATTTTACTTATATGTGGTGCTGAGAATTGAATCCAGTGCCTAACACATGCTAGGCAAGCACTCTGCCACTGAACCACAATCCCAGCCCCCAGTTTTAAGCTTTTTGTATAACTAAGAAGTTTCAATATGATGTGTCTATTCTTTCTATGCACACCTTCAATTTTTTTCTTATTCAGCATTTGGTGGGTCATGTAGATCTAGAGGATCAAGACCATGAGGAGAATTTTTCTATTATTAATTATTTATTTTTTCACAATCCTTGAGTAGCTATTGAATTGTCTGTATTTAAGCTCTGTTTCACATAAAATTTTCTAATTTATTTCTCTTTTAA